GTTGCAATTCGATGAACAATGCTAAGCTGAGGGAAAAAAGCCTATGCCTGACCTTTAATATAATTTTAATAGCATAGTTACTGTAGAACATTTATTGCAGAGGAAAGTGAGATGCTTTTTGCAGTTCATTGGCCTGCCACAAGTATTTCTGTACAGGCAGCATCAAAAACCATGAAGCATAGATGAAGATTAAACACGCTAATTGCATAAGAAAGTAATGCTTTTGCCTCTGTATTTTCTGCTACTTTATTGTCATTACTGCCTTACCCTCTCAGGATGACAGTCCACCTGCCTGGACTATTTATTATTATGAGTCTTTAGCTATTTTCTAGTGCTTTAGCCTTATTGTTAAAAGTGGCATTCTAACACATTAAAAAAGCCAATAATAATAAGTGTGTCTTGTGATACACTTTAGAGTTACAAACATAAATATCCTGTCCCAGATTTCTGTGAATTAAAATAAGGAAAACTACAAAATTCATGAAAACAAAGCCAGAGACTGATGATTTTTTTTTGATACAACATTACTCCAGAAGCAGGCAACCTACTTGTCTGGGCAATGGAGCAGCTTGGTTGTGTGAGTCAGTGCTGCTGTGCCTAACAGGTTTCTGGACACTGAAAGTAACTGCAGCATGCCTGGAGTCCTTGCAGCACTCTGTCCCTGTCACACTGAGGAGTCGTGTTCTGTTCTGTCACTTGTGTAATGGGGATATGAATCACCTTCCGTGCTGCATGAGTAAGAGCTCAGCATCTAAGCCTGCCATTGTGCCTACAGTCACATTTTATGTACAGCTGCAGACATTTCCATAGATTAAACTTCAATGGCATAATTGGATAAAGAGGCTGCAGCCAGGATTTCTCCTATCTTTTTCATTTTGAACATTCACAGAGCTCAGCAAGTGACATCTTTATTTTACATCACAATCTAGCACCTGCCATCCTTTTTCTTTGTTTTAGATGGAAGCCACCTTTAGTGTGGGAGAATTACTCTCAATTCTCTGGTCCAGTCTTCTGACTATATAAAAATACCCCAAAACAGCCAAGTGCCATTGATACTTCTTGCTCTTTAGGTTCATTCTATGACATCAGTTCAATTTACTGGACTATGATGTAACTATCATCTAGAGTCTGGCAGGCATTTTCAATGTTACTCTTCTGTATATAAGGAGCTTTTTTTCCCTGTAATTCACTGTAAGAGGAATCATTAAAGTTTAGTGGGATGCCTTTATGGGTTTAGACTTAGATTGCCTTTAGCAATCAAGTACATTTCTTCTGAACAACCTGAGTTCATCTGATTTTTAGGTACTCCAAATCAGTGTTCCACCAGAAAAAAATACAACTAAGGCGGTGCCCTGAAATCACAAAAATTAATACCAACAAAAAGCTTTTCTTGGCTGTACTGCCCTTCCACCAAAATCTACCATTTTCAGCCTATTAATATAATTTCAACACTTAGATGGTATTTTCTACCATCTACATTAAGTCAGCTTCTCTCCTAAACACAGTTTTTTGAGAAAATTAGTCACATCCGTTGTATGTCTGCATGTCTGCTGACTTGAACTTGCAGGGGAAAGTATTTTGGAAATGGTGAAACAAAGACTAGTGCTGCAGTGTCTTGATAATTTTGGGGTACTAGTTCTGCTGAATTAGCTTTGATGTCCAACTAAGGAGGTGGTTAAAGAAAAACAAAAACCCACTGTAACTTACGCTGTATATTGTAATGTCTGCCTTTTGTTATCTTCCTTTCACATATAAAACATGGAAGAAATATTCTTTGAGATTCTCTTTTCTATAGAGGTGTCCTTTCTGCTCTTCCCCCTTGATTTTGCATCCCATTGGAAACCAACCCTTTACAAGAGAAAAAAGCATTTATAAAATCCATACATTCTGCTGTTATGTTTTTAAAAAGGAAATAATCAATAGATAAGCATTGTGGCTTTGTCCTAATTATTATAATTTTGTATTTTCTGTTTACGCAGCAATCTCCATTCAAAGACTTTAAAGCTGCAGCTCTGAATAAATGTTCTCCCCATTTCTTGTGTGAGGTAATTTAATTATTGTGAGGCTACAAGATTTATCCAGAGCCAAGCAGCAAGCTTATGGCAGAATAACATACACCCCAGGCTCTCTTGATTCCCAGTACTGTGCTCTAACCACTCATCCTTGCTGCTTTACACAGTTCCCAATGACAGCTTACACAGAAAGGAAGCATCAAGGGTTTCTGTGTTGACAGTATGTAATCATTCTGTAGACAGTCTAATAATTCTTAGGTAGATTATACTCAGCCATAATCATCTCCAGTGTAATTAGAGAAGAGTCTTAGTCATCTAAGTGAGCATAATATAGGTAATATAAGTGGTGTGTTATAGGATATAATCTCAACCCATTTCTAAATTGCACCTGGTCTTTTCATCAGCTGTCTTTCTGATTCTAAGAAGCAAGCTGCCTGTGACGCAGCTCATCCTTGATGTAACTCCAGAGCAAGGAATTTGGGTTGCTATGTTCAACTAAACTTGTTACAATTAAATTGGTATAAAGTCCACAGCTTTTCAGTGATTCAGATCACTTTTCAATCATGGATCCTAAGCAGGAGATACAGTCTTTTCTTGTTGTAAAACACAGTGAAATGTAATCCTGATGGCAGCAAAACTGGTACCAGAGGAAAACAAAGGTCCTGCTTAAAATATATAATGGAAACCCTTGGAGTATGCAGGGCTTCCATGTTGGTAATGATCAGCCCTGCTTTTTAATCAATAGTCGTCCCTATTTAGGCTACTGACATACCCCCGAAAGGTGCAATGCCACAGTGTTTCACATTCACTGAGGCTGGGAACAGCAAACAATTTTCTCTCTTATTTGTATAATGAAGCTGCAACTTTTGGTCTGCATTTAAGTTTGACAGCAGCAGTGCCCAATGCTTATCCACAATTTCTCAACAGATGCAGACCCGTGGTGCTGTTTGTGGTGATGAAAGGAAATTCTTTTTGGTGCATAGAGTTTCAGAATTTTTCCTTCTATATTTTCTTTAAATGTAAGGTCCCTTATGCAGATTCTGTTTGGCTTTTTGTTTTCTCTTTAGCCAGTTACTAAACCAGATCTTCTGATCTAACAGGCAGTGTGATATTTTAGTGGTATGGCTTTACCAACCTTACAAATTTGCTTTTTCTGCTCCTGTGGTGAAATACTCTAGTTTGTAATGCTCCTTAATATCTCTACTGTCTCATCCTTGCCTCTCTGACCTTTTCCCCTGCTTCCTTTCAACATTCCTGTCTTCCCATCAAACATACTTGGCAGTCTCCTCTGCACATCAAATGTCTGGTTTAAGGCCGGAATTGGTGGAATGTGCAGCAAGGTTCTTCTCCTTGAAGACAGAGACAGAAACATAAAGGTGCTGCCTTATACCAACACCATGTAACCATATGTGTTACACCATATTTAGCAGTTAACCAATTTATACAGGGACCTGCATGATTATACTTAGTGGTTAAACTATTTTTACCTTTGCATGGAGGCACAGGTTGTGTGCTGAGGATGGAGCACAGAGGACAGCCCCATCTGGGCAAGTTTGGCAAAGAGAGCAGGCTGTCTGCTCCACATGTCGTGGCTGAGGGATGCTGTGCTGTGAATGGGCACCCCCTCAGAGGGACAGTGGCTATTGCTTTGCTTTGGGCCTGCTGGTGCTGGTGCTGCTGCATCCAAAGAGCTGAGAGATCCCTGGAGGCTCTCCAGCTGAGAGCTGCTGGAGGGACAGGAGCCCACTGTGACACTTCATATGTAGCAGCAGGGAATTCCTCAGTCATGAAACACAGAATCACAGAATTAATTAGGTTGGAAAAGATCTCCAAGATCACTGAGCCCAACATTTGACTGATCACCTCTTCATCAACTAGACCCCGGTGCTAAATGCCAGCCCAAAGCCCATTCCAATCCTTAACAGCCCTTTCCTTGCGGATACTTCTGATGAGATCATCTCTTCAGCTTTGCAAAGTTTGGAGAACTCCTTATGCAGTGCTTTGACTGGTTAATGAGGTAGCAGCCATATTTTAAAACACCCGCTTCACTTCCCAGACTTATCTCTGTGTGACACAGAGGAACACAAATTAGCCGTAAGACTAAAACGGAATTAAAAAGCCCCTTCTCTTTCAACACGCTCTTGGAGTCCTCAGCACGGGCTGAGAGATAACGTGCCGGACGCGGGTGGCTCCCCGCAGCATCACTGAGCGGGGCAGGGGGCCGCGCTGTCCGCACGGCTCCCGAGCGGCCCCTCCGCGGAGCGGCCGCGCCCTCCGCCGCCCCGGCCGGACCCGCGCGCGGAGCGAGCGGCGGCGGCGGCTGCGCGCGCAGGGGGCGGGGCCGGGCGCCGCGGGCCGAGCGGAGCGGGAGGAGCGGGAGCGGCGCTCAGGTACGGGAGCGGTGCCGGCAGCGCCGCGGGCCAGGGCGGCACCTCGCCATCGCACCCCATCACCTCCCCGTCACCTCTCCGTCACCTCCCCGTCCCCTTCCTCCTCGGAGCGGCGCGGCCGGGCTACTGTGTTACTTCTCGGCGCGGGGAAAGTGTCGGGATCGCGGGCGGCGACCTTCCCGGCGGGGCTCGCCCCGCCAGGGCCGGGCGGCGGCGGTGGACAGGGAGGGAAGCAAGGAGGCGGGGAGGCAAGGAGGGATGTAGGGCGGCAAAGAAAGAGGGAGCCGTGGGGGATGTCGCGGGAGGGGAGCAGCGGGGATGTCGCGGGAGGATGGCGCAGAGCCGCTCTCCCGGAGTCGGTGCGGGCGATATCCCCCGGCGGCTCCGCGCCCCTGCTCCGCGCCGCCGGGCGGGGTCTGCGGGCCTCCCGTGCCGCGGCGGCGCCGCCGCCTCCCCCGGCCCGGCGGTGCGGGGGAGACTCAGTGCTGGGAGCTGGCATCAGCAGATGCTGTCCCCGCCTGTCCTTTGCCTTCCCGTTTGAAGCGAGGCTCTCCGGCCTCTCATCTTCGCTGGCTGCACTCTCTACTCGCTGCGGCTTTCCCTTCTGCTTTTTAAGGACCCGGCGAGGGTTGTTTTCCCCCATCTTTTTCTTGAAGGTGCCTTTTCAAGTGGTCACCTTGAAACCTAGATGCCTTCGTGTGCCTTTCTAAGCATACTGTTACGTTCAGGTAGGTATGTGCTGGTTTCATTCACTGATGAGCAGATATCCCTTCCTGCAGGTAGGTATATCCTACAAAGTGACATCTCTATTTGTGCTACTATAATAATGCTATAGGCTATGATTAATGATTAATCTGCCTTAAAAAGAAAATTCTCCAGTACTGATAGATAAAGAGGAAATAAATCGTATTAAAGCAGATTCTCAAACAGAAGACAGCTTAGGGCCTTGATTCTATGAATGCACATGCTTGTAAATTTATCCCTATGAAAAAGTGTCACAGAAATGAGAAAAGCCATCCATACCTGTAAGATACGAAACTTTAATAAACCCAGAGAAAAGACTGTGCTGTAGTAAACTTGGTAAATTTTGTGATGCTAACTAGTTTAAAAGATAATAAATACATGAACTTGTGAGAAGTGGAGCTACTGGCTCATTTGGTTATAGACTACTAAAATTTCAACTATTGCTGTTTTAGAATTAGTGATATAAGGCACCTCCAAATATGATGTTTTATTCATAATATGCACTCTAAATCTTCCAGCCAGGCAAAACAAAATCTTGAAAACCCTCCAGTCATATTCTACTTAGGAAGTAGATCTCTGTGAACACAGGACTTTCAGCTTTTTGAAGTGAACTGACACTGAAATTAACTGAAACCGTTTTATAATGCTGTGGACTTCTGCAAGTAGTTTATGTCCCAGAGCTTACAGAAACAGTCTAAAAAGGCAGGTCTTGCATTGAGGCAAATGTGGTGAATGAAAATCCTTCATTGGTATCAGTCAGTTTTGTCTTCCCCAGAAAATATTTTTGATGCTTACAGCTTGAGATTTTTAAAGGTCTCTTCCGGTTTTGAAAGATGTTTGTAATTATTTTGTTTTGTTCTGTTTTTGTAAAGTACAGCATGATTTAAGCTCCATTTGTTTACTTGTGCCAAGGTTTGGTATCTTTGGTGAAGGTTGCCGAATTTGGCTTTCCACCCTCTCCTTCAGAAATTATCAACTGTGGATGCTTTACGCAGCTTGCATGTTGGAGAGTTTGCTAGATGTTTGAAGCTTCTAGTAAGAATTTCTATATTATGACCTTGAAGAGTTGTGATGGTGGACATTGTCCCCGTAGTGTATTTTTCCCTTTGCTGTAAATTCAGCAGATTGAGAAAAAGAATTGCTACCCAGACCTGCCTCTCTGTAAAGTCCCCAAATGCCTCATTTCTTTCAACACACTGCCTTGCATCCTAACATTAGCAAACTCTTATGGGAGAGCATTGCGACGCTTTCTGAGTTTTAGGATCTATTGAAACCTAAAGGGAGACTTCCAGCAAGCTACTTTGATGCTTTTTATGTTGCGCCTTGTTGACATAACCATGTTGCTAAGGTGGAATGAGGAGCAGTCAGCGCGCATTAGGCGGCTGTGAGGAGCTGGGCAGCCTCCCTTGCGCGGAGCGCAGAACGTGATTGTGCTGCTCGTTACAAACAGCGAAAACTGCACAGCCAGGAGTTCTGCACAGCTATGCTAGCGACTTCTCATTGGGAATTGGATGTTGTACAAAGACGCTTTAGATGCCAGCAGCTCCTAACAAGGGTCTCTGCCCCAGTGACAGAAGCAAGAAAACAGGTGCTTCTCTACAAAATGGAGAGTGTTACAAATATAACCTCAAACTGCAGGCTGGGATAAGAGCCACAAAAGGGATAGAGTTCTGTGACTGCTAGGAGACTTAATTAAGAGCGCCGACACCCACTCAGTGAAAAGTCTGTATAAATAATGAGTTTTCCCTGTATGTGCAGCCTGTGATGGAAATGAGTCTGAAATCTGTTGTCTTCTGGATGACTGACCCTGATTTGTTTTTAAATAGAACTACGTTTTCATTAACATAATTCAGATTACATAGGGCAAAAAATAAGATCCTGTCTTATTTTGAAAGATGCCTGCTTCTAAAACAAGGGCATACTTTGGACAAGGGTGTATTACACAATTAAAATAGAACTGGTTGGTCAAGGGATTGTAAACTTTTATAACAGCTGAATCTCACCATTTGTTAAGGCTTAAACTGCTGAAGAATTTTAGAATGCTCATTTGATGGTCACTACCTGATTTTTTTTTGAGACAGTCTAAAGCAATCTGGCAGCTGTTGGCAGGAATATTCCAAATGTTCCTACATACAGCAAAAGAAATATTTTCAATTCCTCCCAGGCCTATTATGCATTTGTTCAGTTAAATGACTGAAGGGAGCATACAGCTTAGTAAAGCTTTGAAGTGCAACTTGATTTTATGCCTGTGTAGGGAGTTGCTATTTCTCATAATTCAAAAATAAAAGTAAATTTACTGGCGAAAAAAGCCATCCAAAATCCTTGACTCAAAGTTGGACCATTTTGAGTAAATTCTTGAGAAATTTTCAGCATGTAGTTAATGTAAAACAAAACAAAACAAAACAAAAACAAACAGGTTTTGAACATGGCTTGCTAAATTTCAGCTGCTGATCAAAATCCCCTTGGATATCTTGTCAGGCACAGCTTGGAGGGACAGAAACAATCACATGTGGATGTGGCACCTTCAAGCAGTAAATTGGCCTCATCATCCATTGATAGTTAGGGAAGAGTCAAACAATTTGACTTAGGTCTGATAATGAAATGTCCAAAAGATAGGGATCTGCCATGGTTTTATGCTTTATATTCAGGAACAGTCTCTGCTTTCTAATTTCTTAATACATGCAACCTTCTTCTTGCCTGAAAAGTCAAAGTGTCCAAAGTGTCAATAAAACAAAACAAAACAAAAAAAAACAACCTTTCAGTGTTTCCTTAGATGGGAACAGTATTATTATTGTGCCTTTCAGTTTGCTGTCTTTGTTCTCTGCCTGCAGCTGAATGAATTTTGCTTTTCATTTCTGTTTTTGGAAGCACTGCTTTTCTGCAGGGTGCAGAGATCACATGTCTCAATGTGCATAAGATGCTGGACTTGATTTGTAAATGGAAATACAAGCTTGTCTCAGGCACAAGAAACATCTTATTTTGAAGGTTAAAATAGAGGTTGGAAACCAACAACTAAGCCCTGAACTGAGTTTCCACAATTGTAACAGACCTTTTTTTTGCCACCCCGTTAAAAATATGGAAGAGTTGAGAGTAAATGATGCATGGCCCATTCCATATAGTTTTTCTTTCCTAATGAGACAGCCGTGATCCAAATCTGAGGACCCTTGTTCATATGCCGGCTCTTCGTTTTTTATTGTTAATGCTTCTTGCAGATTAGTTCACTTACTCTTTCTGGTTGCAATGAAAACCATTTATTGAAATCTTTAAATGTTACTGAAATAGTTCAGCAGTATTAGCACAGCTGGGTTTCTGTTTTATAAAAGCACAAAATAAAGTGAGGAATAGTCATCCTTTAATACACAAAACCACATTATATGTCTTCATAAAAGCTTTAATGTGCTCTCTGGACCTTAAAAGCAGCTCAAATCTCTTTTGTAAGATAAATATTAAAGAAAATGCTGTCATCACCAGAATGTAGTCCAAACATAGCAGCAAGGAGTTTAGCAGCCTGTATTTATGCAACCTAAAGCACCTGTTAAAGCCCAGCTTTAATTTGAAGAAACCAAAGAAGTGAGGGTGGATGGATCAGGCTATATGATCAATAAAACTGATGTTCTGACCAAACTACTGTGGAGGTCTGAGATGAAGCCCGAGTGTTAACACTACCACACTTGTTTTTGTGGACACCTGTGCTGTCTTGAAAGCATTATGTTGATTGGTACCAGCATTAATAATGGTACTATTAATCTAGGACATTAATAATGGTAATATTAATCTAGGACAATCTCAGGTGTGCTTGAAAAACTGGGAATCAGGAGAGGTTTATTCTTCACCCTCTACAACACTTTGATCACGTCTGAGCTTCAGAGAGCTTGACAGTTACACCAACAAAGCTCTGGAAGACAAGCAAGAAAATGTTTGGAAGATGAGTCTGTGTGATGTATCTATGGAACCTCACTGAGGTGAATGAAAGCAAGGTGTGCTGTTCCTTGCTCCAGCCTTGCTTGCTAGCATAGCTATGCTGAGTAATGAACATAGCAATTATACTCCTGGGTGAAGGTTTGGCCTCATCAAGCTGAAGTTTTGCCAGCTTCTGAGTCAAATCAATACAAGACAAATTTTACAGCTGAATGCTACTCATCACAGCATGAGGTGAATGCTCTTCTGGTGCCTCTGCTGACTGCTTGGTCTCACTGATGCTTAATATCCTTAATATCTGCTTGAGCGTTGCTTCAATTCCTTGTGAAGAGGATCTGTATTGGTGGCAGCTGACTTCTCATGTAGCACCTTTTATTTTATACATGACAATGGCTAGATATTATTAAATTTTTGAGCAAGAGGCTATATTGTGTAGAAAACAACTTCTCTACAGCATGTTGGGGCAGAACTATTTGTAAACATGCATCACTTAAAATGTCTTAAATGGTGTGCTGCTGGAAAGGGTTTGCTCTACACAGGAATAGCACCTTCAGAATTTTGTCATCTGGTATAAATCTTAATTGAGATTAACAATAACTACTAATTAACATTTTGGAAACTTGTATTAAACCCAAAGGGTTTTTATATATGATGTTAGTGGCATCTTTAGCTTTCCCTGAGAAAAAGTTGCAGGGCATTAAGTGAATAGCAATTAAAAGAGAAGTGTGAAGAGCAAATGTTGGTTTAGTTCAATAAACATGAATTAAATTTCAAGACAGACCCTTACTTTCACCCTTTTTTTCTCTCACCAATCCTTTTTATCTCCCACTGCTTCCTAGTGACTGCTGCACTTTCATTATAAACCTATTGTTTTGTTTTTCAATTGACAGAGAAAAGAGCAAATTCAGTTGTACTGTTATAAATTTTGGCATTACTTGAACACTAACTTGTTACAAGAGCTTCAAGATCTTAATAGTTCATAAAATTGAATGTTTAATTTTGGAAATCTTTTTTATTAAAAGGACAGCAACTGAAAGGTGTTATTGGTGAGCCAGTTTTCACATAA